TGCCCTCCAGCTGTGCACATCCCGGGCTGCCCTCCAGCTGTGCACATCCCGGGCTGCCCCCCAGCTGTGCACATCCCGGGCTGCCCCCCAGATGTGCACATCCCAGGCTGCCCTCCAGCTGTGCACACCCCGGGCTGCCCTCCAGCTGTGCACACCCCGGGCTGCCCTCCAGCTGTGCACATCCCGGGCTGCCCCCCAGCTGTGCACATCCCGGGCTGTCCTCCAGCTGTGCACATCCCGGGCTGCCCCCCAGCTGTGCACACCCCGGGCTGCCCCCCAGCTGTGCACATCCCGGGCTGCCCCCCAGCTGTGCACGTCCCGGGCTGCCCTCCTTGGCACACTGTTCTGCACGTCCATGGTTCATACCACGAGGAAGTGGCAGCAGATGCTGGGATGTTTCTGTGGCAGCTCCTGGTTTTGGCAGCAAAATTCACAGTGGGCAAGGCCAGTCCTGTTCTCTAGTGCCACCTCTAGTGGGTATGGTGGGGTAAATTAAACTGCTGCAGGAAACCAACATATTTTGAGTGCTTAGCACATCCCTGTTACATACAAATCATCTGGAAGTCAGCACCTGAGGACAAAAAGAACTTGTTCCTCAGCTGTAGCCCTGGAAGTAGGATCCCTGGAGGGTGAAGGTGTGACATGGATGTTCAGGCTGGAGAGGGACATGGCTGCTCTGCATCCTGGCATGGGAAGGAGAAGGAGGAGGGGACAGCTGAAAGCAGGGTATGTGCAGCAAGGTGCTGCTTCTGCTCTGCCCACACCTGACTGTGCCCATCTGGGAGGACAAGCTGGCAGGTAGGTGCTGAGGTGTGCACACAGGAGGGTGATGTGGTCCTGTCCCTTCTACCTTCTCATGTAGGAAGCCCTGGGACAAAGCACTGGCCTTGCTGCCATGTCCTGGTGATGGAAAGGGACCCCAGAGTGACCAACCTGCTGCTGTGCTCTCTCAGGCAGGCACCTTGCTCCCCTGGGAACAACGCCAGCTTTGGGTGCTCAGAAGAGTGAAGCAGCAGTTTTGTCAGCCCAGAAGGGTTAAATCAGCTGCTTTGTTTCTGAGGCAAGAGCCCTTGTCTGAAGGTCATTCCCCTCTGCCCCTTCCTTCAGTCTGGGGGCTGCCCCTCTCTGGGCTGCAGCTGGGGAGAGCACCCTAGGCAGGCAGAGAGGGCCAGGGAGCTCAGGCCCACCTGCACCAGCTCCTTCCCAATGTATATTCCCATCCCCTCCACTGAGGAGCTCGAGGCACCAGCCCCTGCCCTCTGTGTCCCCGTGGGTAGAAGCAGCTCAGGCCCACTGGAGTGAGCAGCTCCAGGTGGCTGGCAGCCTCTGCCTCAGTGGCTTCAACTCACAACTCAAAGCACACCTTGATGGGGCTGGTAACCCACAACTGTTCTATTAGAAAAGCCAGAACTTTTAGTCCAGAATCCATGCACCAGTCCATGGAAGCCTGAGACTTCATGAGATGGGAAGGGTGTGAGGGAAGGGCTGGGGAAGAATGATTGCTGAGGGGAAGGGAGCTCAGGGAGGGAGGATGGGAACACAGGGCTCTGTTTCCTTCTGCCTTCCCTGATAAAAGCAAGGCTGACAGGGAACATCCCAGCACCAGGGACAAATCCTGACAGAGGCTGAGAGAGGCAATGGCATCTGGGCTCCCTGGCAGCAGTGCCAGCCCCAGCTGAAGGAGGAGGCTGGAAGGTATCACAGGTCTACACAGCCAGTGCTTCAACAAGGCTTCCTTCTCTCTCTTATTCTTATTTTACACAACAACAAGCAGCTGCTACCAGATTTTTCTACTAAATATTACTTTTGTTGGGCAAATTACATTAGGATGGATGCTGCAGGTATCCATTAAGGTTTATTTATCGTGATAGTGTTTGGATCTCACGCTCATAAATAACTGATGTGATGGCTTTTGTTTGTAGAAGTGTAACTTACATATTTTATTATGCTTTCTGTAAACCTCAAAAAGAATGTTGTCAAAGCAGTGCCTCTTAACAGCAGCCTAAACTATGGCACATAAAGTCTACACTAACATTATTTTTTAATACAGCAAGGAAGCGTGTTCTGCCCCTGCAGTTTGAGAGGTTTGCTGTCATCATAAACTCCTACTACAATAAAACATTAACAAGTCTAAGGAGTTAGTCTGTAAGGTGTGCTTATGCTGGTGGCTGACTTTCTCCTAAGGCTCCTTACAGAAGCAGGGCAAGGTAGCAAAGCTCAGGTTTTCCCCAGGAACCCACCCCAGCCTGCTGGGGGGCTGCTCCAGGGGTTTGTTCTCCTTTGCAGCAGGGCAGGCACTTCCCTGGGGTGCAGAGCTCAGTGCTCTTCACTGTGACAACATAAACTGCATTTGGGGGAAGAGTCAAACCTCTTCTGCAGTCCCAAGTTGTCTGCATCATCAGACAAGCCTGCATCAGTTTCTTGAGATGAAATCACTTGGGGCAGAGAAGCACCTCCCATCCAGCGTTTCCCATTCCATTGTTTCCACACGTATAAATATATATATATATATATATATATATATATATATATTTAGAGGAGAAAAAAAATTAACACATCCCTCCTAAGGCAATTATGCCAGTTTAAAAAATGTGTAAGGCATTACATGTGCTTTGTAAACACACAAGGAAATTCTGGGCTGTGCCCATTTTGACAGCCCCCTTTTAAAAAGCTGACAGGAAGGACTGAACAAAACCTTGAGTCACAAAACACACCCTGTTTGCTGTGCAATCCATTCCCTAACCTAAAAGCAAGCCTATTCACATGGCCAACTACTCTAAGTAAGTTCCTGTTGTCAATTGTTAACCAAGGTTGAAATGCTGCTCAAACACACGTCCTGAGTTTGCCCAGTTTGTAACACGCAGTTTAGGATCTCGCTGGTAAGTTCTGACACGGGATGTGCTTGAAGGGGAATCTCAGGCCCTGCCTGAGCACTGGGGGAGCCAGTCACCTAAAGCAGGCACCGAGGCTGCCTGCTGAGCTATGGGGCACACCTGTTCCACAGCCCAAACTCCATGTCAGCAGCCCAGGCTGGCTGGTGGGCACACCCTGATGGGCACAGGGGCCACAGAACCCGTTGGCTTTCACAGAACCACAGAATGTGTGGGGTTGGAAGGGACCTTTAAAAGTTCTCTAGTCCAGCCCCCCCACAGTACACAGGGACCCTTTTAACTAGACCAGGTTGCTCAGAGCCCCATCAAGCCTGACCTTGAATGTCTCCAGGGATGGGGCCTCCACCACCTCTCTGGGCAACCTGTTCCACCACCCTCATAGTAAAGATCTTCTTCCTGATACCCAGTCTAAATCTGCCCTGCTCTAGTTTAAGGCCATTGCCCCTTCATCCTACCACTCCATGCCCTTGTAGTTAATCTGAGCCCTAAATGCCAACGTTTGGAGCTGCTTATACAGCCAGAAACCTTTTCCCAAAGCCCAGCTCACCCCAAGACCTGCACACACCTTCCTCTGTGCAGTCTGGCAGCTTTTAAAGGATGACCTGGCAGCACAGATTCCTTTGAGGACCAAAAAGGAGTGGGAGATGGGAAGGACTGTACTAATGCATAGGGGTTGGATCTGTTGATAATCATAGAATCCCAGACTGGTTTGGGTTGGAAGGGACCTTAAAGATCATCTAGATCCAACCCCTCCTGCATGGGCAGGGACACCTCCCACTTTCTGCAAGGCTTTCAAACCTCAGCACACAGCACTGGGCTTGCGTTGCAGGAACACCCTGGATCTGCAGCTCTTCAGTAACCTCCACTGCTTATTTTCTCAAGCACTTGACACTCTTCAAAATCAGACCCTTTGGTTGCAGATTAAACACTTTCTCCCTCTGAGTTTAAATATCAACAGAAAACTGCTTAACAAAATTACTGCCTCTCAGATTTAGAACCTGCAATTTAAAAATGTGCAAAAAAGTAAAGAGTTACAAAGAAAAAACTGGGAAAAAAGCTGTAAGAAATACAGGTACAAATCTTTTCTCCCTGTTGGCCACAATTAAAAATTCCCATTTTTAGATGAACAGTAGTGAAATATTACTAAAAATGCAAGTGCAAGCAAGCATGAAAAACACATGAAATCCATTATTTATAGAAGAAAAAAAAAAGAAGAAAAAACCCTACCCAATTCAAACCCAACACCAATAGTTTGTAATTGCACATAATAGCTTTACTACATTATAAACTAATTGACTTCTTGCTTAAATTGTCCTAATTTTTGTCAGATCTTGCTTCAATTAATTTGTTCATTTCCTCAGCCCACACAGGACCTCCTGCCCACCACAGAATGGGAGGAATTGTTCCCCACAAAGCCAGCAGGGCAAACATGAGGTGAGATTTGGACTGGAGGAGGGATTTTGTTCTGATACAGACCAAGCTCTTTACAACCTCTGAGAGGTGAAGACAAACCTACTGAATTTGCTGTCCCAGATGCATTCATTGTGTCACACCCCGTTGAAATGGGGGCCCTAAGTCTCTGCCTTGTTGTCCACGTTGTCATTAACCATCACTGCTGAAAAGAAATATATAACATCTTGTAGAAAAATAGCAATTTTATTATTTCAAAAGAGATGTCATATAAAATTTGTACTGGTTTTCATCTCATTTTCAAACACGTGTGACCTCAGTCAGAGCGAGCTCGGAGGTTTTAACTGATGAGATACTATTTACTAACATGTGTAGAGCTGAGAATCATTAACTTGATACCAGTTTAGAAGGAAGGCATATTTATTTTGTTCTTTGGTTAAGTTCTGCTTCTACACCATTTCAGGAAGGTAAAGGAACAGGGTAATAACTGTTGATAAGAAAAGCTGAGAACGTTCTTCAAACTAAGGCCGATTTGCCGTTGGTTTCACGATTATAAATCCTTACACTTAGGTGAGAGATATAAAAAGGCAGAAAGGTATCTTCAAAAAATAGTTTTCACAAGGGTCAAAAATCTGTCTAACAATACAACAGTCTCAGAGTTAGTTGGTTAGTCAGTGCTGTGTGTTGCCAAAGTCATCGTCAACTCATCATGTCCGAGCTGCCGGGCTCGGCGGCCGCGTCACCACGCAAAGCGTCAGCCACGTCCCTTCGGAAGACTGACATGTTCTGAGTGAACCTGGGAAAGAGAAGAGCCAGAGCTTGGGTTAAAAGAGACCTGATGCTGAGAGATGTAGCTCAAGAATCGGTAAAAAGAATAACTGAAATGTAACTGAGGAAACTGCCCCCCCACACGACCAGGTTCGCTCAAGAAACAGCCCTGAGAAGTAACGAGGGTGTGAACACGTATGGGCAGTGTTATCAACAGGGAGAAACACTTTAAAAGTCAGCTTGGAAATGGATGCAATGAGAAACCTTTCCCTCTCATGTGACTCAGAACACGTCCCTTCTCCCAAACCTCCAGCAAAGGGCTCTTGGGGACATGTCCAGATGGTCACCAAGGCCAGGCTCTCTCAGACCTACCTTCGTCCCTCAGGAGTGGTGTCAGAGCACAACCTGTCTCTCAGTGAAACCTGGTACCATCACCCATCTGGCACAGAATCAAGTCACAAAAATGTTCCCCAACAGTTCTCTACTGGCAGGTGTAGGACAGGAAATCTGCCCAGTGCCACCACACCCCAGACAGAATGACAACTCTGATCCATCTTGTGTGACAGCCCAAATCTGACCTACTCCCTTAGTCTAGCCTGACCTGAAACAGAGTTTAATTGACATACATCACATCTTATGTAAGCATTTTAAAAAGAACTGCTAAAAAACACATAAGAAGATGGTTTAAAATGTCAGAAACATATCTTGCACCCTGCATTTAGGGTTTTTCAAATCTTCTTTTGTTTGTTGCCTCAATGCTCTTCACTTTGATTGTGTTGGACTTTGCTGGCTCACTATAGTGAAGCTAATAAAGGTTCTCGAAGAACAGCTCCTTAGGGCTCCTTCCTGCCAAGGCCTGCTGGACAGGTGCTTGCAAAACTGATGGGATCTCAGCAAAGGTCTCTTTGCTGGACCAGGGGTAATAATCCTTCCTGCCTGCCTCCTCTCTGCTCTACTTTATGGGCATGTCTTGCAGCAGTGTGGTAACCTGGGGCTCGCTGTGCCTGGGAATACAGGATGCAATTATGAGTTCATTCTTTATTCTATTCATAATTTTTTACGTTTGTGCTTATTTCCTTACTAATGGAAATTGATTTCTGCTCAGTTTTAAACAATCACAGTTAAAAAGAAGCCTCCTGTTCCACGGAATAAATCTGAGAAGGTTTACAAATCAAGAGCTGCAAGTGGAAAAGCCATTGTTACCACCTCCTGCTGTTTGCTGGGGAAGTGAGGGCTGAAAAGTCTTCCCAGGTTAGACAGGTGGGTGCTCCTGAGACAGCCAAGCACCCTCACACCTGCACCCACCCCTCCCTGCCTGCACTTCACAACAGCTCTCCAAGAGCTTCACACCACTGCCCATCTGGGAGCCCTCCACAGCACCTCGAGGTGAAAATCCCCCCTCACATCCACGGATATTTGCATCTGACTCTTGCTGAATCCTGTATCTGCTGGCAGCCTGAGAGCTGGAAGTCTCTGCTGGTGCCCTCAACAGGAGAGCTCAGGCAGCTGAGCTGGATGCTCCAGGCTGCCCATCCACCCTGCCCTGCTCCCAGCCTGGAGGCCCCCTGCCCATCCCCTGCCCTCAGCCCCATTCTCTGCCCTCAGCCCCTGCCCATCCCCTGCCCTCAGTCCCATTCCCTGCCCTCAGCCCCTGCCCATCCCCTGCCCTCAGCCCCATTCCCTGCCCTCAGCCCCATTCCCACCCCCTGCCCTCAGGCTGGGCTGGCTCAGCCACCCACCCCCATTCTGGCCTTCACATCTGGGGGTCTCAGAATAAGACAGCCCAGAGAAAACCCACATCAAAGCCTGTTTTCCTCAACAAACAATGCTATCTTAAGGACTTCTTGCCTTCAGTAAATGGAAATAAATAGGGAACTAGGAAACTATCTAGTTATAAGTGTTAGTTTTCCTGTTTCTTACTTTTTCTTTTCTTTCTTTTCCCACCCTTCAGGACTGTTGAGTCAAATGCCTCCCCTTGGCACTGCCAGCTCTAGGGTCAGACAATGTCCAACAGCTCATCACTGCCAGCTCTGTTTTTCTTTGCTTTACCAGGCATTCTCCTCCTTCCTGGTGGCTTCTCTGCCTCTTCCCCAGGTTTTCTGCTGATCCATAATACAAGTCACACAGGAAGTTTGTCTGATTTATTAGTGCCATGGATGTGATCTTTTGGCTTCCAAACTCCCCTGTCTCTGGCTATCACCCACAGTCAGGCCATAAGGAACTTACACCTTTAGTACCAGAATTGAGATGGAAAATGAAATTAAATTGTGGAGACCATAATTAGCACAAAACTATTTAAGAACAAAACAAGTTCAACATAATTTTCACATCAAGAAATGAAGAAGTCAGAGAAATAAAATCAACACATGGTTTTAGCCATCACTTCCCTCCAAGTCGCCTTCCATGTTTGTTTCAAGCTTTCCAGGAAGTTCCTGTCTGGACTTGGGTTGTGTCTCTACATTTTCAAGATTTGCTTTGGTTGAATAATTCCCATGGAACAGAAAATGCAGCTAACTAGGTAACAAAAGGTTGAAGTGAACATTAAATGCAGACAAATGTGCCACTTCTCTTGTCAAGGCCTCTATTCTGCTTGTCAAATGAGGGCAGGATTGGGTGGATTTGAGAGTCATGTTTAAAAAATCAGTAATTCTTGCCTCATTTATATCTACAATGTGTAAGTGGCTCCACTGGGTGCCTTCCCTTTCTGGCACTTCACAAGCAGTTGCTTCCCAGCAGCAAGAAAAGGCTCTGTCAGAGCATCAGCACTGCTGGAGGCTGAAGCAAGTGTTTTATCAGAGGGGTTTAAGGCTGGAAAAAGGAACCTCCCAAGTGAGAAAGCAGCAGCTGCAGCCTGGCAAACCTTGACTCTGGCATTAAATTAGGAAATACATTTCTGACCAAGAAAACACACCATTATCAAATGTTCAGGCTCCACCTGTTAAGCCTAGGGAGGAATTATTTAATAGAATATCACCTTCCTTTCAAAAGGGACTGCAGTTTAAGGCTACCTGGAGTATGTCCTATGTGATATGTACATATGTCCTATGTGATATATCTTTCCAGTTAAAGTTTCCATGTGTCTTTTTCACCTTACTTACGTGTTATGGACTTACCTGTCTCTGTTCTTCACCAGAAGGTTTTGCTCAACTCCTTCCATCAGACTCCTGAAGCACTGGTCCAGGACTTCCCGTTTGTTCTCAGGCTGACTGGCTACCAGGGTTGCCCTCAGCTCACTGAAGTACTGTGGCAGCAAAGCAGAGAACATGAAAGAATGAGGTTTGGGAATTTAAACTCAGTTACTCATCTTCACCTGGAGCACTCCTGAGCAAGTGCTTCCTGCTCTTCCCCCTGGGAGAGGAACTTGGCAAACTGCACAGAGCTCTGTCTGAGCTGGGCTCCACACCTTCTGCAGGGCACCAGCCCCAGCCTGAAGGTCAGTGCCAACCAGCCCCAGGAGGTGTTGGCCACCTCACCTGCTCCAGTGCAGAAAGCCACCTGGGAGAGGTGACAGAAGCATCCTTGGCTACTTCTCAAGTCCTTTCAGAATCTGCACTTGGCTATGGGCTCTAATCCCTTCAGAGCTGTGGTGAGACACACTCACCTTGCCTTCTTTAGAAGCTAAGTAATCTGTATTATCTTCTAGATACTATTCCCATTCTATCCAGGCAGATTTATAGACCAGGTAAAACAGAACTCGTTATCACCTTAGAAAAATGGAGGTTTAGTCTAGAAATACTGAATGGGAGGGGACCTCCAGTGTTACCCACTACTCTACTGCTAAGGCCAAGCAAGTCATGTAATCCTGCTTAGTTTTTATTATGCTGGTTGTGTCAGTCCCAATCTCATGGCCATGGGTGCAGGCACATCCATGGTGTAAGCCCTGATAAATACAATTATTCAGAGGAGAAGAACTGTTCTGATGAACCTGTGCCCAAGCACCTGGCAGAGTTTCTGAGCAGTCTGATCCTGCAGTCAGGAATAAATCACTGCTTTTCCCCAAATTTCAGGTGTATAACCAGAGAACTTGTTAAAGGACAAAACTCAGTTTTTAGTATGAAAAATGTAGTAGACTTTTGAAGTTAATGTAACTTATAGGGTGTTGTACAGTGCCAGAAAGTACAAAAGTTTTTCTTTGCTAGCTTTCTTAAAAACCTTTATGTGGTTTAAAGCTGTTCAAACCTGAAACGAATCTGAAATTAAACACCCAATTTTCCCATCAAGACTATGGGACAACAAAAGAAAATGTAGTAAAACCACAGCACTCCAGCACTAAGCCCTGACAACTCAAGAGGAGGATGGGAAGGGTTTGCTTTAATGTCTGCTTGGTAAATTACTTGCCCTCAACCCAGTTCCTCTCAAGCCCAGAACATCCTGTATCACACATCTGTGCTCACCACTGCAGCTGTACTGGAAGTGAATCAGGGAATCACAGACTGGTTTGGGCTGGAAAGGACCTTAAAGATCATTGCACCCTCTTGGTGCAAGCAGGTATAAACCCCAGGTAGAAATCCCCATGGAAACCTGATGCCTTTCCTTTGAGATGAGCTATGGGCAAAGAAGGTCTTATTAAAACAAAAGAAGAAGCAGGAAAACATGGCCAATGTGGGCTTGTGAACTCCAGAACTGTAGAGGCAGGAGCCCTGCCTGAAATAAAATAACTAATTTCCAATAAATAAACCAGCAGTGCACTGAAATGTGCCAAAACCCAGTTGCTTTTACAGCCTTATGTAAGTGCATGTCTTTCTTTTCCTGAACACAAAATAAATAACCTTGATGCAAAAGGGGCAATAAAGATATTGTAAACTCTATTTCCTGTTCTCCACCCTTCCAAAAGAAATGTAAGGCTTGTTCCTAAGTAAAGATGCTTGTACATATCCATGTCTCCTAAGCAAAACACATAATCACTAGAACTAGTCTAATTTCAGCAAAAAGAATATTCTGCCAGACCCAAATTTATTCCTTATGATTTACAGCTCCGTGGTTTTATCTTCAAGTGCAATATTTAATTTCTTCTCATCCTGAAGCATCAAAACCACATAATTAATATGTAGTCAGGCTAATACTTAAATGCTATAAATCAGGAGCATTATATAAACAAAAGTGTCGTCTTGAACAAGATTGGGAATGCACAAAACGACTTATTTCCCACTTTTATAATGATGCAGTGACTCAGAGCAGATAGCAAATGATTAGTTTTCCTTCCAAAGTAGGAAATATTGCTTCCATCTGTAAAGTATAATATCGTGATGTCATAAAGTTTTCCTAAACACTGAATTTGCCCTTATTCCCTCTCAATCATTTTAAAAGAACTGCTCTCTCTTATAGAGCTTGGATTTAAATCACAATAACACACCAAGAAGATGAATGACAGTGCTATTGGATATGGCTAAAATTGGATCCTTCAGCACAGGTGAATGATGAGACAGTGCTTCTCTTCTTGATATATTTTCTTCTTCTATTAGTTTCCTTCCTAGCTGGGATTTCAGTTTGAATTTTAATGTATGCAGTTGCTGCTAATCTTAGTGTCTTCTTTTTTTCCAGCACCCTCTTATTGTATAGACAATTCATTCTCCAAAGCAGTAATACACAGAGGCTTGTGGCTGCCCAAGAGATAAAGCAATTCAGAATAAAGTTAGAGCTAGCTCTGAAGTCTGGTGAATACAACAGGTCAATATCCTCAGAAACAATGCCTTGCCATGCCAAAAATGCACACATTTACATCACTGCACATGCCTTTACTCCCATGGTTCCCATTTCAGACAATATTGTCTCTATTAAGACACCAGGGAAACATGATGGGTAGATCCAAATTCATAGTTTCAGATTGTATTGAAAGGGCAGATTGCAGAGTATTTCCTGGTTTTACAGAATCTGCCAGAGATGCACACGATCCAAATTGCAATCAATGCCAGTACTTAGTGTAAGTGCTCAGATAATGCCCCCCCAAGCCAGTTGTTCCTGTGCAGCCTTTCAGAAAAAAAAACTGGTTAACTCCTTTTCTAGGAAGCAATTTCTCTGATGTGATTTCCACAGTCTTCTTGTTTCATATTTCTATCTAAAAGCCAGATGAGTTGGCACATCTTCTGGTCCTGCTAAATTCTGGTGAAGTGAAGACGTGGCATTTTTTAATTAATTGTACAGTTGCAAAATCTAAGCTTGGGTGTAAAAGTTGGGGTAAAGGTTTGAGAGGATTCTTCATCAAATTGAAGCCACTCAGCCCCTGAGAACTAAGCTGTAAAATACCTACCCAGTACATGAGCTGAACCCTACTCTCCACTCCTGATATGGGTGTAAAGGAGCAAGGTCCCAAGGAAAGAGATGGGGGATGCAAAGGGCAGCAGGCAGCTCTGTTCCATATGAAGTAATTATTTCAACTATCTGGGCACGAGAAGAGTGAATTTGGTGGAGTTTCTTCAATACTCACTTTCTCATTGAGAAGTATAAGTCCAAGCAGGGGTCTGGACACAGACCATTGGTTTCTGCAGTCTTCAAAAATGATGGTGTTCATTAGGATTGACATCATCTGAAAGGAAGTTCAGACAGTTCACATGAGTGTGGATACTGTTGTTATACTGTGTGATGTGGTGAGAAGGAAAAATGGAAGAAATTTCTACTAATCATGCTGAAATCACTGAGATTCCATCTCTGAGCACAGCACCACCAGTGTCATTCTTCCAAACAAGCATTTCCATAACCAGCACTACCAGGTGTGAAGTCAGAGAAAATGAACATCAAAACTTGGCTCTAAAGCAAAAGTTAAAGTTAAAACAAACATGAACTGAGAATTAGAACTGTGTTAATTTGAGGTACAAGCTCTGACCTGACTAGAGGGCTCTGCCCTCTTGTCACACTTGCTTCTAGGAGAGCCCTACCAGTAATCTGTACTAGTTGCAGATTAATCCCCAGCTGCTCTTTAAGATTCTGGTTTTCTCACATCCACCTGTCCTGTCCATGACACTGCCAGGTGTTTGAAGGGAGAGCTCCCAGTCTGGATGAGGTGATGCTGGTCACAGCAGGAAGCCAACCTATCTCTGCCCCTCCTGCCACAGCCACCAATCCAGCCTCTGATTTTAGACATTTTACTTTACTTCTGTGGCTCACTTTACAGAGCTCCACAGCAGGGATAAAGCCACTTCATCAACTATAAAGCACTGAGATCTCTCAACTCATACAGTGAAGTTGCCCTGGCACCCAAAGTGAAGGCACAGAATTCACTTTGCTCCTGGGCTGGCACATAACCAGAGCCTCCAGCTCCTGCCACAGGGACCACTCTCCTCTAAGGCCTCTCCCAGTCTTGCTCTGCTTCTACACCTCTGGTGTCTGTAGTTAGGAAGGGTAGGACTTGTTTAGGCATTGGCACAACTTTTGCAAAAAGAAATCACAAAATAACTATGGAATCCATTTAAAGATAAAGTGCTCTAAGATATCCTTGAGAGATGTCAGTCCAAAATGCCAAAGGCCACAACATACACGAACCTAAAAACATTACTCAGAGATTAAACAGAGTGAAAATTTGTAAAATGTCACCAGTAAATAGTTTGACTCACAGTTATAAAATATCTACACCCTAAAACCAAACATAGAGGAAGTAGAAAATCATTAAATCCTTTCTTCTAGGCCAATGAGTAGCTCTGAGCAGGTCTCCAGAGAACTGCCACACTGCAAACTAGCCTGTAATAACTGACCAAGGCAAGTCAAACAGCATGTTTCACTAAATGAAAAAGATGAATCCTAGCACTACAAACCACCTAGAACAGAGATATCCACAAATTATTTGAGCTTTCCAGACAGGAACATACGGTCTGGCGTGGGAAAGGCTGGTTCTTCACCTGACTTCACACTTTACATATCAGGCAAACTATTTTCAATTAATCTTAAGACAAAACCAGTTCTATGCTGCCTTGGGACTAATGCAAACAATTCAAAACCTCTGCACAAGCATTAACAGGGCCTGTATTCCAAACATGAACAATAATTACAACTTATTATGGTTCATTCATCTCCAGGTTTTAATCTCTGTAGCTTGAAACAGAAACAACTGCCAGGACAGAAGCATTTTTTAAAGTAATTAAACCAACACACACAGGCTGTGATTTAGAGCATCATGACTGACATGCCTGTGTTTCTCAAAAGAGGTGCAATGCAGATGGGAAGACTTTCAATGTGATGCTTAATCTAAAAAGGGCAGGCTCAGTGACAAGTTCACAGCTGACCCAGAGGGAAGGTGCCATCTCTTCAAACTCCAGCTTTATCAAACAACTCACCAGGATGCCTTGAGGTCTTTAGCCCAGAATTGCTACTAAATTGCAAATGAACTGTCAAACAAATATTCTAGGAAAGTTTTTGGCCTAAATATGGAAGATGACCTGGGAAACACTTATTTGTGCCTAAGTAGAACAGAGAGTACTGCAATAAGCACAGAATATGATGAATGTTACACTTCATAACAACAAAGCCAACATGAAGCAATCTACAGAACAGCAACTATTAATTGTGTGCTTTGATACTGGCCAACTGGGACAGGAGACAGCAAAAACCTCCCTCCCACTTCCAGGCTTTTCATCTGACAAGATCTCACTGTCAAAACATTTTTCATTCTACTTCTGACCCTACGGATTAACGAAGCAGAACCCTGTGAGAAATCATGAGCTGCACAGGGACCAACACTGCAGTGAGGAGTTGGGCCATGCCCACATCTGTCTTCTTCATGGACCAACCCATTCCTTTCAGTGAAACCGGGCAGTTTCACCACTGTTGCCTGTTTAAAGGAACTGCTGGGACCAGTGGTACCATTGCAGGAATATGAACAAGGCTGTAACACCTGCCCCTGAGCTCTCCCAGCAGTGATTCAGGCCTCTTGTGAAGTTATAAAAGATTATTACTTGCAGAGGTGGACGATTTGGATGCTACTGTGTTGTCTTGGCAGATCTCTCAGACATCCCACTTCTTGCAAAGACTGGAACAAAAATAACCAAGGCATTCAGAGCTGCGTGGGGCAAACCTCTGTGTCCCAGCAAGACCTCTGTTGGAGGGTGTCAGGAGTGCAACTTTACCACACAGGCAGGAGACAACCAGCAATTACTGCACCTAATCCCACCAACGTGAACCCCACGGTAACAGCCTTGAACTTCCTGCTCCTGATTTCCAGGTGGCTTTGGTTTCCTGTGCTGCTTCTGCAGGAGCCCACAGCAAGCTGTGTGCATTCCAGCTCCTCATGCTGCTGCCACGCTCCAGGAGAGCCTGCTCCTGCCAACAAGAGCTGGGACACCCACCTGCAGGGAAGGGCTCCCCTCTGCAGGAGGAAAGGCAAGAAGCTCCTCTGGATGAGCCCCACACCACCTTCCAACAAAGCTCTGCCTCAGCCAACAGCACATTTACCAGACTTCAATCCTTCCTCAGGCAGGGGTAGCACGAATTCTCCCTCTCTTGCCTCTCTACTGTTTCACATCTTATAGAACAGCTTCTTCCTACGCTGGCAAGTGACATCCTCAGCTTCCTCCTTCAGACTTTCTGTGAACAGAGATTTGACTGTTGTCATCAGGAGAAACAGGCCAAGCCAATGGAGGAAAGAATTTCTAGATACTAGATGCACAGCTCCATGTATACACCCATTTTTTGTTACTCCCCTGAGCTGTTCACGTCATGAAGGAACTCAAGCTCTTAAAGCTTCTGCAGGAGGCTTGGAAACAACGTGCTGCCTTCTTAATATTTCAGCTGCTGACACACATTTACATGTATTTGAATTTATGATGGCAACACCAACCAAAATGCTAACCACAATTTTCTGAAGATGAGATCTTGCCCAACAACACCTGCAAGGGAGGAGATGAATGCAGTTACCAGCCAGCACCTGGACCCAGGTACAGGAGCAAGCACTCAGCAGCCAACAGCAGCACTAGCTGCATTTTTATTTCACTTCTTTTGAGAAGTGCAGAGCATTTTCCAGATGTTAGTTAGCTCCAAAGCGTGCCACTGAGATACATCAGCTTTACCTACATCAGCCACTGAGATACATCAGCTCTACCAACACATTTTACAGAGGGAATGAGGAACAAAGGCACAGTGATACAGGCTGAGCCTGGGGCACCCCCTCAGCCCCTTCCAGCCATCCCCCAACCTGGTCATGTTGGTGCTGGAGACCTGCAGACCCTCTTCCCAGGCAGCAGCAGAAGCTGGTGGGGTTCAGGTGGACTTGCACATACTGGGCATGCAGGTGTCCAAGGGAAAGCCATGCTGTGGTACTCCTGCCTGGCTCCACCTTTGCCAAAAGCCTCATCCTCTAATTGAAGATCACAAAGCCTAATTGGGGATCACAAAGCAACTCAATGGCAAAACAAAGCAGAGGAGCAGCACAGATCAAACATATGGATTTTTTCTTTTCTAGGTGAAAAAGATCCTATTGACAGAAATAGAAACACTTTGTTTCAGGGATATGTCTTCTCTGGAGTGTGGGGCAGACCTGAGTCTGGGGCAGAAAACATGGTCTCAGGGTGGGGAGAGGAACATTAAAAAGGAAGGGGGTGGGGGAGCAGATGATCTATTTTCTACTCAGCTTAAAACAGCAGCCTTGCCTCTGCTCACTTAGCTTCAACATAAGGCATCACTTTATCTGGTTCAATAATGCTTCTCCTGACACATTTGTTCTTTACAAAAGGAACTATTGACAGAGCAGGCAAGAATAAAGAACTGGTCTTTCAATAAATTCATTCTTCAGTGCCTCTCTTCCTTCAGAGCTTCTCTCCTTCTTGGGCAGAGGAGGAAAATGCTGGCCAAGATAACCCTCATTATCAAAACTTTTTCTGAAGGAAGCTGGAAAAGAAGCTGCTTTTCCATTAAAAAGGATTTTTTTTTTTTTGTTGCTGCTCCATGTTACCAAGAGCACTTGCATCACTGTAGCTCCTGTAACTTATTTTGCTCTCCCATATGTTTGGATAAATACTTCACTCTGCTACAACTAATCACATTTTAACATAAAGAACCTTATGTTAACACCAGAGACAGAGATATATTCCTTTAAGAAAGAATGGTCTAAGAACATGCACAGCTTTTAACCAAACACTTGGCTTGTAATAACACTCCTTTTTTTCCATCCAGACCTGAAAAAGATTCAGATTTTAATTGTTTAGCATAATAAAAGTTGGTAGGTTTTTATAGCTCGAGCTTCAGACAAGTCCACTCTTAATTTAGGAGCTGTGATTACTAATTCAAGTGTCCTTTGGAGTTCTCAGCTCTTTCATCAATTCTTCCTATATCAATAAATGGATCATAATTTACTAATAATATTAGGAAGATTTATATGCTCTAAGTTTATTAAACATCTTAAATTTTAATCTATTGGTTTAAAAGATTTATTTTCCTAGAAAGCCTTCAGATTGTTATTTTCCACGTTCAAAGCTAAAACTCCCAGAGGTGAAACAAGACAACTAAAGCCTTTATTTATTATCAAAGTGAGAACCAGACCATTATTCCTGAACGAAAAATATTTAGCTGCCAGAAACAGCAAATCAGTTGAGATTTGCAATA